GATCACAAACTTATTCTTTCTGAATGTCGATTTTACCTATATGATGGTTGTTATGAATCGTGAAAAGGGTGTTCGTATTATTGCAAAGAGTGTGACTTTGATCCAAGGGTGGAGCCATCACCCAACAAGCCAAGGTGGCTGCATGTGCTAGCTCCGCCTGGAAAAAAAATTCATATATTGGGGCAATAGTCGAGCGGCTGCGCGCCCTCGCCTGGATCCATCCTAACTCACTCGAATTCTTGAATCCGCCATTGCTTTGATCTATATCCAAAATGTGCTTTGTCCTTTGAATTGCTTTGCTATGAATCAAAGATTATGCTGAAGTAGCAGCTCAAGAAAAACAACTTGAAGATAATTAGATAAAAATAAGTGAATAACTAAGCCTAGCGTGTTTTAAGTAGCAAGTGTATATGTAGTTTGACTACAAAAAGTTCATTTAACCTCCGCGTAACTTGATAGGTTCGGTCAAATATATAAAAACTATTACATCGAGCCGAATGTTTATAACATGTTAGATCGGACCAAATGTACATTATATAATATTACCTTTCAATACTTTCCTTCACGTAGGCGAAATTTATTTAATTTTTATCAAGCCTAACATAAAAATAATTCATTTAAATGAGTGGCAATGAAATTTGAACCTAGGATATATGTATGATTGAATATCATGTTAAATTTGATCAAATGTATATTATTTAAATAATATCTTCAACAATACTCAGTCTCATTCTTCAGTAGCACCTAAAAGGAAATATTATATAGATTATGTTAATGCAAGGATAATTGTTTATAATTCGTCATGTGCTTTTAGTTTTTAAGTGGCCGATCTTTACTTAATTTAAGAAAGCTTCACTTAGCTCAAGTAAACGAATAATGTTCATAAACTCTTATGCATTTCACGGGGCATTCCTTTTAAAAGGATGATGCATCCAATTCAAAGACGTCAATCAATTTTTTACATCTATAATAGTCTTCTAAAGATCTTCTAAAATTTTGATTTTATATTTAAATCAGACGAGGACTTAATTACATTAAAGGTCTTAACCCTTATTCATTGTCAAATTTGTC